TAATACATTTGTCTTATTTGTATATCTGAATGCAGATTATATGTTCTTAGATATCATATTATTAATAAGCATAATGTATCCTGGGATATTGTTCTATTTGGTATACATTCTGAGTGGAAATTAACATTATTGCCATAATATTTTTGTTACATAACCAATTTAAGACCAAGTATTTGTAAAGAAGTTGTGCAGAGTAAAACTGTGTTGTAGATTTCTTCTGTAATCTTTGGTAAATTCAAGTTCTTTAGAGCTGAAATAATTGGTTTCTGTTACATAGTGATCATCATTACCAAAAAGGAAAGTCTTTAAAATTTTAATAAACAATGCAGTCTACTTATGTGTTTGAAATGAAATCCGTAACATGCTTATGTATTCCAAATTCCAGTAATAGCTCAAGATGTCAAATAGCCCATATACTACGAATCACAATATTTCTATTCTGAACTTTCAATGACTTCTTTCTTTACCTTAATTATGAAAGTCTAGAAAGACAAAGAATAAAAAGCTGTTAAAATATAGATAATACAGATAGAATATAAATGATGGATGTATGCTGATGTGAGAATTCAGAGGAGGTCTTAGTCAAATTCACCAGTTCTTTTCCATTTAACAGTGGATTAAGATGAATTAAAGCAGAAATTCAGATCTGAAAAGCTGTTAGACTTTTGTAATATATGCTTCCTTTTCAAAATTCACACCATAAATTATAAAATGTTAGGTGAATGATATATAAAAATACTGGGATGATGACATAGTAGCGTTTTTTTTGTATTACATGTTTTACAGCTCAACATGAACTCTGCTCCTACTTTCATGCATTTTCCTTCAAAAGGCAGACCTAAGAGAGCTGATACTTTTGACCTTCAAAGAATTGGATTTGCAGCTGAACAGCTAGCAAAGTGGATTGCTGACAGAACAGATGTTCATGTATGCTTTTATTCCCTACAGTTTTAATAATATATCCTGATTAGCCTGGTTTGTTAGAGCATTATAATAAGCCTACAGGAACAAATATTTTTTCTGTATGGTTATGTTTCCTTGCATAGAATACTGTGGGTTTTTGTTTTTGTTTTAGTTTTTGTTGCATGGTGCTAACGATTGAATACTGGGGCTTGCACATGCTAATCACAAGGTCTACCACTGAGATACATACCCAGCCAAAAAAAAACCAATATGCTTGATAGGTATAACTGATTAGTTGGAGTTTTGGGTAACCAGGTGAATTCATATACTTTATAAGATAATGGTTCATTGATAGTTTTAAAAAAATGTCCAAAAGTACATGAGTTAGACACAAAATAATTTCAGGGGATAAAAATACATGAAAATGGTTCAGTGTTGTTATTAATCAATGAAATTCTGATTAAAAAGCAGTATATAAAATTTTTATCTTTTGTGCTAATAGAAAAAGAATTTAGAGCCAGATAGAAAAATCCCTATTCATATGTACTGCCTTTGGGACTGTAAATTGGCACAACTGTCCTAATATTATGTGCTATGTTTCTGTTTTCTATAATTTAGCTTCTAGGAATTGAACTCAAGGATCTGATCAAGGGTGGTTTATATTCTTAGCCATAGAGATATTTTTTTAGTAAGATTCATTTCAATGGAAAAAATTTTAAACAAGTCACATGTCTAAAAACAAGAGACTTTAACATAGAAGGAAGCTCAAAGTCTAACAAGTAAAAAAGTGAGAAAAATACTATTTATACTATGGTCTGGAGTTTTGTTATGAAGCATAAATCTGAATTAAGTTGAAAGAGACTTGTTTATTCTGGAAGGAAATTAACTAAAATGTTGGTAGTAGTGTGTACATGGAGGACTTATGGCTATTTTTCCTTTTACATTTCAATATTTTCTTTAGTGAACACTTCCAACCAGTTATTTTAAAAGTCCATTCTTGTACAAGTAGTATAGAACCATTAATTTTTACCAAAAGGTATAAACATATAACTGAGTTAAGGTGTTTCTCTCATATATTACAACAGCCATTCACCTATATGATGTTGTTAAAGGTTTTCATATTTTGTTGGCTAAACTTATTTCCTAATTACTGTCATGTTTCTTAAATATTTTGGCAAACAGTTTACTATGAAATGTACAATTTGGTTAGTCCAAGACATTATGGGTAATGTTGAGAGTACTATTTTTTATAAGAAATACTAAATTTTAATTAGAAATGATTCTGGCCTATCTACCTATTACACTTACATGTTTAATTGATAGAAATGCTTTTGTAAAAAAAATTGGAGATACTATAAAAGTTTAAACAGTTTTAAAAATGAAAATAGTACAAATAGTACCAACCCATACCCTTTACTAATATTTACTAACGCATACATTTTACCACATTTGCTTTGTGATTCTTATTCCTCTATGTCTCTTTACCTCTTTCCTCATACACAAATTCACTATTTTTTCCTGGGAAAAGTAACTGGGATGGATTATCTGTCCTAGAAATACATAAACACAGTACAATTAGCATTATTCTGGTATAATAATTTGATTTTAGCTGCTGCCATTTATATAGCCTATAATCCTTCAACATTGACATTAATATTTTAAAGAAATAAATTTTTTATATAGAATGATTCTCATTTAATTTGCATGACACTTACTCATCATTGGATTCTTTTCATTCATTGCCAATCATAACACTACTTACATGATGTTTTAATCTTATCTGTAGGTACAAGATGTTTTTCTGTCACTCATTAGTGATAATAATTTTGAACATATAGTCAAAGTCTTTCTCATTTCTTCACTGCATAATTATTCATATATTTTAACTTCTTTATAATTAATGAATTGTGTAAGATATTTGAAATCATTCAGGCATCTTATTCTACACTAAAATATCCTTTTACATTTAGCATCCATTTATGATTCTTGCCTGATTTAGTTTTCACCATGATGTTTGCAAAATGATGCCAATTCTAGCTTTCTCTCCATATTTCTAGTTGACCCTCAGCATTCTATTGAAATCAAGAGTCCTACTGTCTTTATGTATTTGTCTGTCTTTCATCCATCTATTGTTGGTAAAAAGGCATGAATTTCAATTTGTATTGTAAGTATTTTTCAAAATTTTATCGTATTATGATGTTTTGACATCTTATAAATAGCTTTCTATCTGCAAAAAGAGACTCCTGATAGGGAGGCAGCTAATTCTTACAGCTAATAAATGACCTGGCCATTGGCATGTCTTTGATATGCAAACTAATCAGTCTAGAGCTCTATTTCCTCTGTCTGGCCTGTACATCATTAGCAGGGAAGATTCCTCTGCCTTAATCATCCCAGGGACAGGAACTAGGCAATGAGATCACCCTTACTCCCCAGAGCTCACCAAAATTATGCAGACTAGGAAATCCTAAACTGTTTATCCTGCCCTGACCTGCACAGTTCATCTGCACTGCTGTGTAAACCTCAATGAAGGCAGTGACATAAATCTCCCCCTGGCTCTGTCTTCTGCCGCTTGACCACTCTGGTATCTCTCATGTGGTGCTGTGTGATGTGTAGTGCCTCCTATCTCTAGGACCTGTGAATATAATGAACCTTGTTTTTTCCTGAGTCTCTCCTGCTATACCTGATTGACCAGCTCATAAAAGAATACAAAACTGTTACATTAATTCCACTGTGGTTTCTAATTTATTACTGTATTTTATTAGTTTGCTTCTAAAATTGCCCTACATTTGACCAGTGGGAGCCCTTTCATGCTGTTGATTCTTAAGACTCCTCCATCATGTTCTTCTAAGTACTTTTTAATTTTTTTGATCAAAATAAATTATTTTGATAAATTATTTTTTATCAAAAATAATTATTCCAGGCTTTTTTTGTATCTACTCTACACAGCACTCAATTAGTCATGTATTTAAAGATTTCTGGTTACTTTTAGTAGGAAATCTGTATATACTTTAGAAATCATGAGTTTGTACCAGTTGTATCAATTTCTAAAAATATACTCTTCATACTTTAAAGGATAATAGCAAGAAAGTGAATAGACAGTTCACAAAATGGGAAATATTTGCCAATCATTTTTGTAATGAGATATCTAATTATGTTGTTGTTAAGCTCAATAATGAAAACAAAAACCCATCTTAAAACACGTGTGAATGAACATTTCTATGAAGAAAATATAGATATGGCCACTAAGCGCATGAAGAATTGTGTAACATTGACAGTCCTCGAGAAAACATACATCAAAACCAGAATAAAATAGCACTTCCTTCTCAGTAGGATGCCTAGAACCCATAAGTCAGATAAGTGCTAGCGAGGAAGTGCAGAATTGAAATCATCATACACTGCTGGAAGATGTAGAATGGTACAACCACTTTGGACACAATCTGGCAATTCCTCAAACTTTATAGAGTTTCTACATGACTCATCCTTCAATCCTAGGTATCTATGCAAGAGAAGTGAAACCATATGTTCCCACAATACTTATAAAAGAACAGAGTTCTTCATAATAGCCATAAGGTTTACAACTTAAATATCTGTCAACTGATAAATGGATATAATAATGTCTGTCTACTGGTAAATGTAGTAGATTATCCAGCCGTACAAAGGAATGAAGTACTGACACATGCTTCAACATGAATAAAGTTTGAAAACATAGTGAAAGAACCCAGTTACAAAACACACATAATGTGAAAGTCCAACATTAGGGATATCTATGGAGATAGAAAGTAGATTAGATTTTATGTAAGGCTAATGGTTGGGGGGATAAGTGGGTGAGTTGAGTTGATTAAAGTATTGAAATTATTGTAATGTTAGTACATATTTATGCATATACTAAAACCATTGAATTGTACATTTAGGGTGAATTGCATGGCATTTGAATTTTATTTTATAAACCTGCAAACAGTAGCCTTTTACATAGTCCCGATTTGAAATAACAAAAATACACCCACATTTTAGCACCACCATTTACTGGATAATCCAGTTTGATGTGTAAATTATAGCAGCTCTGAGTTGTGTTGTATGTGTAGGGTTTGCATATGTTTGAGTGTATTCATCCAAAATGAAGAGAAAGGCTTTTTACATAGCCATGATTATTTTTTTTCAATGCAAGGTAAGAAACAAGTCATGACTTAAAGCTTTTATTTTTGACTCAAAAGGAGAGTAATAAAAGTAGTTTCAATGTTAGATGTGAAAAATAGGGGGACGTGTCACCAAATTCTTTGTGTTGAATATTATAAGGACTAGAATATGGTCAAAAGAAAAATTTAGTATTTCTCTGTCACATTTAAAATTTTCATTACATTTTTACAGATTCGGGTTTTCAGACCACCCAACTATTCTGGCACCATTGCTTTGGCCCTGTTAGTATCACTCGTTGGTGGTTTGCTCTATTTAAGAAGGAACAACCTGGAGTTCATCTATAATAAGACTGGTTGGGCTATGGTATCTCTGGTATGTTATCACATTGTCATTTTTTTGTGTTTCTTTCTTTGCATTATAGCGTAAGTTTTTTCAGTATTAACAAAATGAGCCAGATTATTAATATAGTGTAAATTAACCTAAATGAGAATAGCTTTTTATAACTGGGATGATGTGGTGTATGTTTGCTTTCGGCCTAAGCTGTGCTCTTTTCCTTCTACTTTTCACTCTGAAAATATAATGCCTCTCATACTTGGCATATTACAAAGACTAAATAAGTGCATGTTGAATATATTTAAAATATAAGATTATAAGAATTAGTAGTTTAGAATAATTTTTGAACTGAAGAGATTCATATATGTATGTATCCACTCTTTTAACCATCAACTTCTTGTGTTTTTACTACATACCTGATTTTTGTAAGGTACTGAAGATATAAAAATAAGATACAGATCCTACTCTGCAGAATTCATTTTGATGGTACAAACTAATGAACAGACTAAATGCATTGTAATATTATCCATGCTATGATGGAAGTATGTAGGGAAAGCGTTAATATAGGGATACAGAAGAACAACAGCTAACTCAGTAAAGGTAATCATGACAGGCATCCTAGAGTGTGACATAAGATGGACTATGAAAAAGAAATAAAATTCTGAAACTGTTAAGTCCAGTAAAGGAGTATGAGATGATGCTGAAGTGGAAAGAAATAGACTCTTGTTTTCAGTGTCAAGGGATATGGGTTTATCCCACTAGTGCTAGGAAGCCATTAAAATATTTCAGAGAAAAATTACATAATTAAATGCATGTATTAGAATGATCATTCTGGTAGTAATGGGAGTTGATTAACAGGTAAGTTTGGCAGATGGAATTACAATAATCCACATGAACATGATCCTATTACAGTTTCTACAAAAGTATTTTCTTCCAAATGATTATAATCATCCTACATTTCTTTAAAATAATTAGCTCACAAAATAAAACGTATAATAAATAAACAGATATATTCAGAGAATGATATTGTATCTGCTACTTAACTAAAATATTGGAGTTAAAATAGATACTGTAAATTGGAACACGAAATTCATATTATGCATATAGACTTAAAGTATTACTAGGAAATAAAAAGATTTCCTGATGTGTAGGAGATAATTATTTTTCTTTTTACTTTTAAGTTATTTTGAAAGATATTTAACAGTAAAGCAGAACATCATATCACTAAATTAATGAAAGATGGGTGAAATATGTCTAGGTGTGTATGCATGTTAATATTTGTTTATGACAGTTTTCCTGTGTTTTACAGCTTAAATGGTTTCCGATCAAGTTTTAATTTATTGTGATGAGTTTAAGATATATTCTGTAATCTTTTGAGAAACAGCTGAAAACAATCAAAGCAAAAAACTCATGGAAGAATTAAGATGGAGATATATATATGTATGGTTAGTACAGAAGAGATACAGAACAGAGGAATAAAAACACATGAAGCAATACTAATAAAAATAATGACAGACTTAAATATAGTCATGTCAGTTTATGTGCATTAAATGTAAATAGACTTAGCATTCAAATCAATAAGCAGAGATTATCAGAATAGTCAGATGCAAACTAGGTGCTATCATAGGAGGAACAGTGTAAAAATAAAGCTACTGAAAACAAAAGAGTACAAAAAAAACCAAATAATGGAGAGATATGCTATATTCAAAATCATAAGATTTAATATTGTTATGTAACATTTTCTTCAAATTTCTCTTTGATTTAATGAAATGGTTATTTTAAACTTGGCATTCATTTTAGAATAAATTGACATCCTGATTCTAAAGTTAATATATAAAGGCAAAGGACCTGGAATAGCCAAGTAATTTTGATAAAGAACAAAATTGGAGGATCTATATTACTTGATTTTAAAACTTCCTATAATGCTATAGTAATTGAAATAGTGTCAGTTTGACCTAAGAACTGACAAATCATTGGAACAAAATACAGAGTACAGAAATAGTAAGTATACATAGATGGGCAATTCAATTTTTAACAAAGCTGCCAAGTAAATCAATGAGAAAAGTATTGTTTTCAACAAATGATGCTGAAATATACCCGTGTGCAATTAAATACAAAATTTATGTCACCTATGTAAGAAATGCTCAAAAAGGATTATATCTCCATATGTAAGAGCTTAAGTTATACTTCTGGAGGAACACAGAAAATCTTTGTGGCATGAAAATAATGAATTGGGAAGGGAAGAAAAAGATAAATTGACTTCATTAAATGTTGAAAATTTCTGTTCTTCCCAATATACCATGAAGAGATTGGAAATATAATCTATAATCTATAGAACAAGAGAAAATACTTTGAAAACATACATGCTAAGGGACATGTATTTACAATATGTAAAAAAATTACTGCAACTTAGTAATAAGCAAACAGAAAACAAGTTTTTAACAATGGACAGTGTGCTTTTACTTAAAATTAGATAAACACATGCCAGCAAAGACCATTGACAAATGTATAAAAACTACAGGGAATATGAGATTCAGATTTTTAGTTTTTCTAAAAAGTAGATGTCAATAGACAGATCAGGTAAGAGCACTAGCATTCAAAATGACATCTACGTAATAGAAGGCTGGTAATTATTTAATTACTATTTTGATTTTTCTTGGCTTGAATTCAGTGCAAGTTGAAACCTGGAAGTGATAGTCATATAGACAGAAAGATATCTAGCAGATACTCTTGATGTGACCTAAGAGGAAAGAAGGAAATTTATAAAGCCAAAAGAGAACAGGAGAGATTCTTCAGGGATGTTTTGTTTTGTTTTAAATCCTCTCTTTATTTCTTTTCCCTTACACCAGAGCCTCCCAGCCATCCTGAAGTGAGAGCAATTCAGGCAGTGAAAGTAGTTGGCCTGGTGTCTGGCCAGTGCTTTTCAAAGATGGGAGTCAAGAGCCAGAAGGAACATCAATAAGTTGTTTCCTTTGGAGTAGAGGGACATAAGATAGACCAGTTTCTAGCACAGCCTGAGCTTCTGTGTAATGACGTAGTATCTGGTAGTCAAGAAGCTTGGGTGCCTTCCTCATGCCTAGTACTATTTTGCTATCATAGCAGAGTTTGTGGGTGGAGCCTGGTTGTCACCCTTATACCACCTTTCTTGCTAGTCCACGTTTGATGCAAGAATTGCTGAGATCTACCTGAGAATCCTCCACTACAACTTTATGAAGCCCAGCTGAGTGCAGCCTGGGCCCATTTGTCCTCCAGATAACATGGAGGTAGCACTGTCACAACTGTATCGCTGCTTATAATATGCTATCCTGGTGGTAGCTGCAATTAGAACAATCTGAAGGAGAGTAAGCTTAGCCCACAGGGCATCATTCACTAAGTTTCAGAGGATTACATCTTTTAAAAGGGATATAACCAGGTTTCTAAGCTCTTTTGAGTCCTTTGCAGAGAAACAGTTTTGAAGGCTTTTGCATCCATACAACTCATTGAAGTTGTAGACATTTATGAGCACCAGGGACCTATTCAGAATGAACAGTTATTGGCTGCAACTCAGCTGTCAGGAACTCCAACTGTCTTTGGTCACTTATTTGGAGGACTGTAAATAGTGGCTAGGTAACTGTTTTTCCAGCATTCTTAGAATTCCTTTTCTGGATTTCTCTTTTGGCCCAGTAAGCAATTTTGATCAGGAATCAGGAGCTGAAGAGAAAAAAGGACCAGTGGTCTCTTTCAGTACCTTAAAGGTTCTATAAACAACCTACAAACTCTCCCCAAGACCCATTAGCATTGTTGGTGAAGTGTCCTGTAGCATCCATTCTCTATTAGCAGTTGATGAAATGCCTGATGAGATTCAGGCACTTGCAAAAATCCCAAAACACTCCTAAGACCGTCAGTCATTTTACTGTTTTAGATCAGCACTCTGCCCAATTGCTCAAACTCTTCACTGTGCCAGTTTTATGAGCTTCTAGGTGTTAAAATGGTCAATTAAGACAAGTAGGAGAACCCAAAGTAACAGCCTTTATTCACTTAATGAATCAATATAAACAAGACATCAGAAAGATATCAGCTCCTTATGTTTCCTGTTTTCCCACAGAATAACATTGGGCAAGAGTCAGTGATAGTTATCACAGGCAAGGAAATTATCTTACTGTAGAGGAGCCCCCAAAAGGCTTCTGTCTTTAATAGAGTGGATGTGGGTGGTTAGGCAATGACTAGGGGAGGAAAAGTTCTGAATCAGAGTAGAGAAAGTCCCTGAAGCAAGGTCACTTAATGAGTTCTCCATGGAGGAACCTGATAAGTACCTTACCTAAGGCTCCTGAATGGCCTAGGAAAACAAATATGCACATAAACATCCCTGCACCTAAAGGTTTTGGAGCTTAAATCTTTGACTATAACTTCATTCAGAAACTGTAATGTACTAGTTGTTCACCAAGTCTGGTATTGGAAAGAGTAGCTCAACCCACTCCACTGCATTGTGGTCTTTCAATTGTCTATGATCAGGTTCAAAGGATGGACATAAGATTGTGCTTTGTAGCCCAATACTTCTAATAATAACAAAGAAAAAAACTAACGTGACTGTAAGACAAATAGAATGTAGGAACCTAAGAAAGTTAGCAGATAAAAATAGTTGTAATGATTAAAAGAGTGATCCACCACTTGGTTTTGAGATTACATATAGCCTGCAGGTGAAAGTATATAAAAAGATACTCCACATAAATGGTAAACAAAGTCCAGGGAGCCTGTACTTAGAGAAAACAAAATAGATTAAGTCCAAAACAAGACAGAGGTCATTGTATAACAGCATAGGAATAAGTTCATCAGAGGATATAATAATTGTGTAAATATAATGTGCCCCCAACATTGGAGGAGCTAAATGTGCAAAACAAATTTTAACAGAACTGAAGAGAGAAATAGAAGTAAGTCGGGAAGGATTCAACACGCTATTTTTCAACAATGGGGAAATCGGTAAGGAAACAGCTAACTTGAGCAGCATTGTAAATGGACCTAACAGGCATGTATGGATGAACTCATAGAAAGAGATAAAGAGT